TTTATTATGTTCTTGGCATAGATGGATAGTGCTTGGTCACGTAACTACTTTTAACTTGATTGAAAATTTAAACTATTGTACTGTTAACAGGACCACAAGATAAACAGGATTGCTTGAAATATGTAATTCTTAAAAGAAATTAGGAGGGCAGAGCAGTTTCCTCTAGATCTATTCTGGTTTAGAATCTGTTGCTGGCATATGTTCTACTGTAAAATGCTCAGTTGTGAAAAAACACAAAAAATACCCCAAAGAAACAAACTAAATGTAGTTAATTTAAATTAAGACTGCTGTTAGTAGTGCTAGATTGCATTTAAGTACACCTGCCTTGTAAAGAAAAAGGAGTGTCTGAGAAAATGGCTTAATTCCCAACAACAGATAATCAAAAGGGGGAAGGTCCCTGCATTTGGAAACTTTGTTTTTCATAACAAGTAGACATGTGTTCCAAAAATTTTTAATATCTTCTTTTGCTGTATCAGTCTCTAAACTAATCATTCTTCACTGACCTGTTCATCATAATTTTCATTCTTTCTTATTACCAAGAAATAAAATTCTCTAAACTTCACCATCATTGTAACTTTATTAGCATTAAGTGTTGAAGGGAGCCTAAATATTTATCAGCATGAGCAGAAACAGGTCTTGTGAGATTTCCTAGGCAAAAACAGAAGTCAGGCAAGCAACCCTCCATCCCTTTCAGACTCCCTTTCAGAGAGAAATAACAAATAGCATAAATAACCTGCAATCCCCACTCTGTGACCTTTGGGAAACAGGTGTTCTTCTGTGCAGTCAACAAGGGGGCTAAATTTTATTTAAGTCTCACCTTAAAAAGGTTGCACATTCCAGCCCCCTTTTAGTAAGGAAGTTGCTGTCATAATTAAGATTTCAAGTCCCAGAGTCCTTTGCACAGAATAATTTCATCACACATTTCTGCCTCCTTCATTCCAGTGGCATTTCTTCTAGTGTGAAATACAAGTATTAAGTTAAATGTTCAATTTCACAACTCAAAGTGCTTATTATTTAGGTTGTGTTTTTCTTCTTGTTCATCTCCACCACTTTTCCATGGCACACTGCCCTCTCAGCTGGAAGCAACTCTAAAAGAAGATTAAGCAATGCCAGGGCAGAGGTGTGAGTGCTGGAGCTTGACTTACTATGCACTGAAATAATTAGCACAGGTCTAAGTAAGAATTATTAAATTGTAATTGTTAACCAGTGTCATCAATAAGGAAGTGGGCAGAACCATTATCCTCACTCATGAAAAACTCCTTTATCTCAAGAAGTGGCTTGAGAAATCATAGAATCATTAAGGCTGGAGAAGATCTCTAAGATCATTGAGTCCAAAAATTTACATATCACTACCAGGTCCATCACTAAACCATGTCCCTAAGAACCAGAGGTGCATGTTTCTTGAATACTTACAGGGATGCTGATTCCAACACCTGTTCCAATGCTTGACAACCCTTCTGTGAAGAAATTTTTTGCCAATATCCAATCTAAACCTCCTTTGGCACAGCTTGAAGCCATTTCCTCTTGTCCTCTTGTTTGTTACCTGGGAGCAGAGACCGACCCCATGTGATTACAGTCTCTTTATAGGGAGTTGTAAAGAGTGAGAAGGTCCCCTCTGAGCCTTCTTTTCTCCAATCTGAGCCCCCCCAGCTCCCTCAGCTGCTCCTCATCAGAGCTGTGCTCCAGACCCTTTCCCAGCCCTGTTCCCTTCTCTGGATGTGCTCCAGCCCTTCAGTGTCCTTCCTGTAGTGATTTCTGTTACCTTCCACTGCAACTTGAGCCAAAAGAACTCATTTCTCAGTCACTCATAAGAGGAAAAAAGTGTAATAAGGTAAAAATCAATCATCACACATCCAGGGCATAAAGGTCAATAAGCTTAGTTTAGATCTCCAGGAAGATAATGGAAAAAATTTTTACTTGCCATTTTGTAACCAGTAGAGTATTAAATATCAGCATGGATCCTTCATGAGCTAAAACAAGCTCTCTTCAGTGAGTCACTCAGATGATGATGTGGTGATGCCTTCAGTAGCAAAATCAAGAGATGTGGTTCAGATGAAAGTACTAAAACACGGCACATCCACACAACTGAGCACGCACATCCACGGATGATCCTGAGCTGGAGGAGGAGACAGAGACCTCTGGCACCTCAGGGTCCTGGTGGATGATAAGATGTCCTTGACCCAGGAGTGTGCCCGGTGAGCAAGAAGACTTGTGAGGCACATCTGGAGTGCAGTGTCCAGTTCTGGGCTCCTCAGGACCAGAGAGACCTGGAGCTCCTGGAATGGGTCCAGTGCCCAGTGACAAAGATGGTGGAGGGACTGGAGCATCCCCCTGCCCAGGAAAGGCTGAGGGGGCTGGGGCTGTTCAGCCTCGAGGGGAGCCCCAGCTGAGAGGGAACCTCATCCCTGGCTGTCCCTGTGAGCAGGGAGGGCTCAGAGCAGGGCCCAGGCTCTGCTCCAGAGGGATCCAGCAGTGGCACCAGAGGAATGGGCAGGGATTGATCCCAGCAAGTTCCACCTGAACAGGAGGCAGAACTTCTTCCCAGTGCAGTGACCGAGCACTGAACAGATTGTCCAGAGAGGGTATGGAGTCTCCTCACTGGAGATATTCCAGAACTGTCTGGAAACACAATCTTGTGCCATGTGCTTTAAAACCACAGGCCCAGCTATTGTTTCTAGGGCATGAGAAATATTTAGTGACTGACTATGATAGCAAAGGGCCATGTTGCAATCAGGCAGTGCTGGTAAAAGACTTAAAAGCCATTATAATATACACTTCCTAACATATTGCATGGCAGTTTGCCTTGTCCCTAATGGCTCCAGTCATCACTGAGATCCCCACAGCAAATCAGGCTTTCCTCCTAGCACATCCTGCTCCTGTTTCCTTCCACCTTTCAAAGAGAAACCCTTGATACCCTGCCTACCTTTAGCAAGGATCCAGAGCAAACAAGGAGATGCCAGGGTAAGGCATGTGCAAAGGGATTATTTCCCATTCCTCCTTCTCACCTGCTCCTGAGGGAGCTCCTTGCAGAGAGCTGGATGCTTTGGGACAGGGTCTGAACAGTGCCCCACATGAACCTCCTGGTTCATTGTGGGAAAATACGGGATGGGATGGGATGGGATGGGATAAATTCAGTTATAGAGGGGACCTACATAGTGCAACATTCTGACTGCAGATTAGTTTGGAATAAATTCGTCTCTAAGTGCAAGAATCATCTCACTTGTGGAGTGGTTTAACAGGAACGTGGTGATGTTCAGCCAAGGCAGTGTCCTGTCCCTTGCCATTACAAAGAGAATATCCCTTAATAGCAGTTGGAAAAATCTTGTGGCAGGCAGAACTGAGTTTGTTCCTTCTCCAGATTTGATGTCTTTTACAATGACCTTAAAAAAAATGAGACTGTTGCATTTGAACTATTGTCAGATAGGCAGAAAGGTGCTGCCTTTTCTACTTGTATGGAGATAATCCTTATTGATTTTCTCTGCAACATTTAGCCATAGCTAAGATTTTTAGACAAGTGTTATACAGTGAAGAAATGAACATTGTACTAACTCTAATTGGGCCATTTTCAGGTGGATTTCCTGACTTTGTGTCACTGTCCATCTGCTCTGCTGTATCAGATTGCTGAACAGGTAAGAAAGACAAAATGTAAAGAAAACAGAAATAATCTATAGATAGATTGACATGTTTGTAATTTATCATTTTATCATTTTGTAGCTGGAAAAGAAAACTTCATGTCTATACTCAGGAGATGCATGTTGAGATCATAGAGGGGCCTGAGAACATCTGTGCCCTCGCTGATACAATAAATGCTCCAGAACCTGACATTTTGCATGCTGAAATCCAGCTGTGCCACCCACAATCCTCTGTTTGGCACCCAGGCTGCCCACAGAGTGAGTCACACGAGAGGGAAGTGTCTCCAAATTAGATGCTAATTGCAACAAATGACTGAGCAAGAAGTGACCTATTTCAATTTAATAAGAATCAAAGTTTTAATCCTCTTCCTCCTTCCGTGCTGGGGTATACACAAGGGTTAAAGATTTCCCTAGGCATGGCAGAGTGCTATTAGAGGCAGTTAGGGCATTTGTATTTAAGCTGCTGTATTTCTCCCTGAGCTGTCAGTAGGGAGCCTTTAATCTCAGTCTCAGCCTGTCCACAAACCAGCACTAGCTGTAGTATGTTAATAAAAACTCTTTACTTTCTCAGCTTAAAATGTTTATTACCCTGTCTATAATACATTTGGCCATCGTTTGCTGGGATTATAATTTAGTATCAAAAAATTGCTGTCAGTTTTGCCATCAGTTTTGCTGTTAATGCTGTTCTGACCTCATTGTGGAAGTGAAGTTACCTGAGATGGGTTACACAGGTTGGAAGAGGAAGATCATCCCCAGTGCCACCACTACATTTCCTCCTTATTGAATTGATCTCACTTCCTAACCTGGCAGAAAATGATGCACAGCCTGGGTGGCACTGAGACAGCCAGCCACAGAAATAATTCAGGACAAGGTAGGACAAAAGGAAATGTTGTCAGGTTTTGCCAGTGTAGGTTTAGATTAGATATTGGGAAAAATTTCTGGACTGAAAGAGTGGTCAGGCATTGGAACAGACTGGCCAAGGAAATGATGGAATCACAGAAAATGTGAAGATGTGGTGCTTAAGACCATGGTTTGGTAGTGAATATAGAGCTCCCAGAATTAGGTACAGCCCTGGGATTAGGGACAGACCTTGAGGCTTTGGTCACACAAAGCTCACATCACTACCACCAGTGCTAAAAAGATGCCACCTTTCCCTAATCCTGTTTTTTCTCCCTCCTCAGCAAATCCATATCTGGTTGTGATAAGAAGTAACCAGGAAGATAGATATCTTCAAGAAAATATCTTCAAGCTATCTTTCAGCTGACAGAAAAATATTCCTCTGATTAGTTTTCTCTTAAAGGGGGTAACTGCTCTCCTCTAATCCCAGCACCAGAGCTAAAAGCAGGACTGTAAGTAAGTGGATGTGCTTGACTTTCCTGTACTGTGTAGCTGCTGAAATCAAACACCCACATTCACACAGACACAACACTTGCTGAGGTATGGGGAGCAGCTAAACAAGATTGTGTTTCTGGTTTAAACATGCCTTAAGATCTGCAGCTGCAATCCTCAAACGAAGTAGAAAGCAGGTCAAAAGAAGCACTCATTAGATGAAACCCCTCTACAGAGCTACTGCTAAGATTTTAGTGCCAAGGGATTACATTGCAGAGCCTGTCATGTGTTTATCTCCCAGCTTATCAGAGGAAGGTGTCAAAGGAAACTATAAGTAAAAGATAAGCTGGTTTGAGACTGACACCACCATGGTAGCCTGAACAGCGACACAGCAACATGTTAACCAGCATTGTTAGGAAAATCAGGGACAGGAATTGCAGGTCTGATGGCACTTGTGAGGGGCAGCCACCATCTAATGAGTGCCACGGGTCTGTGGTTAGTGCCATGTACTGCTGGCTACATCTGTGAAACAAGGTGGAGATAAAAGATAAGGAATAATAAAGTGGGATGTCATTAATCGGCTTCTACAGAAGGAGTGCATCAGCAGATAGCATTTAATAATGCATCGCCCCAAGCAGCTCTGTGTCTGAGCCTGATCTTATCCTCTGCATAAAGCATCCTCCCTGAGCCCCTGCTGTCTTTGTTCACTTCATAACTGCAGCATCAGACCTGCTTTGCCAGCAGTGGATGGGAGCAAGAGGCTCATCACCTGCCAGGAGGTGATACACAATGCATAGGATGCCTTTCTGCTCGATTTAAGGAAATAACAGCAAATAACAAGGTCATTTAGGCTAAAATATAATTGCCAGCTGGCTCACCCATTTCCAGTTAACATGAAACAAGACTGTACAGGTTTAGCACTGAAGGCTCTGCTTAGCCAAGATGGACCACACAGCTTCTGGGTTCAACCAAATCAAATGAGTTTTCCCATGAAAACCTCAGGAATATCAATATGAATGAGTGCATCAGCTCAGTTCTGGGGAAGCAGCAGGCATGTTTCAAAGACAAAATAGCAGTGATGCAGCATGCCTGAATATTCCCCACACATGGAATACATAGGGTGTGTGCACTGCTGTCCCTCCTCATGGCCAGGAAACACATCAACAACTGCAGTGCACACCCAAAACAGCCCCAAGAGCCAGGCAGGAACGGGAGATGTGTGTACACACGTGTGCATGAGGTAGTTGTGAGTAGCTAAGCAGCTGAAGACGTGGAGATATGTGATTTTTCATTGCTTCTCACAGAGGAAACACAGCCCATTTTAATCATTCCTACAGACTCTGTAGAGACACCACCAAACAGGCTCCAAGGGTAACTCACTGATAAGAAGATGTATCACATGTCCATTGTAGTCTAACACTTTCCCTCTGTACTTCAGGGGATACCTAAACTCTGTAGGTTGGTACACCACTGATGGCATTCTACATAAGACAAGTAAATGCTTTCTCCATGGCATGAGCTGAATCTATTCTTAATTTCAGGCCTTTTTTTAATAGATTTTCCTTTGAAACCTTTCCATCCATTTTTTTTTTTCATGTCTGTCTGTAGTGACAGGTTACACAGAGTCAGAACACAGATCTGAGCACTGAAAAGGTTTTCTGTGCCTTTATAATCATAGTCCTTGACACAATGTTGGCTTAGACCAAACAGCATTACCTTCCAGAAAAGCCTTGGCATGTCTGACAGATTAAGAATGCCAAGGGCCCTTCAGCATCTTGGAAGACATGGTTCAAGTAGCAGGGTTCAGCTCTACTGACCAGAGCCCATCCAGTGGCCTTAAGACCCAAAAAGTTATCATAGACAAATTGTACCATCCATATTCTTACATCTTTTCCCCAAACAATTGTTTTCCTCAAGCTTACCCAGAAAGAGATATAGAATAGTGACTGCCTTGACTCATATAATTCCTTTTCAAAAAAAATCTTGGTGATGTCAAGGCAGTCATTTACTTTACCTGCTCATCCAGCCTGCCTCAGGCATCTGCTGTAAGAAGAAAAGGTGAAATACAGACCTGAAGTACCTCCTTTACCTCTAAAGGCAGCATAAGGAGAATGGCTTTGAAGCAGAGCCCTGGTGAGATGAATGCCACTCTTGCAGTCTGGATCATGCTCTGGCAGGGACAGGTTTTCCTCACCATCTGCAGGTTCAAGAGACCTGCAGCTGTAGTGAGGTTGGTTTTGATGACAGCAGGCCTGGCTGGGGTGGAGCTGGAAGGTGAGAGGTCTGCAGAGAATAAAGGTTCTGGATCAAAAGCCAGGGAGTGAATAGTGGGAGATGCTGTCAGTCAACCACTGAGACATTTTCTGCAGTGGGTCAAAAGAAGTTTAAGAAATATTTCAATATAAGTAGTCATGAAACACTGCGGAGAACTGAAGTGACTGGTCCCATTAGATGAACCAGTTTCTCCACATTCAAATCCTGAAGGCACAGAGATCATCTGCTACACCACGCATTCATAGGAGATCCATATTCTTGATGTCCCTTTGATTACAGTAGGAATGATGGATTTGGCCAGAGAAAGTGGCTGATGAATTCGCTGGAGCACGGGGAGAGGAGTCACCACATAGCCAGGCAGCCAAAGTCACCTTTATACAGCTATAGAATGCAGAGCTATAACCAGCTGTGAGGAAAATAAAACTGTGGCAGACAGAAACCGTGCCAAAGGTGTCCATAGGAAAAAATACAAGTGAGAAGAAAGGATTAAAAAATGACAAGTGCTTACACCTGTGTTAGCTCAGCCTGGCTCTGCCCTGAATTTCTCATCTGGGTGCAGTTTAACAGAGATATTTCCTTGGAGCACAGCTCATTGTGACAGTCTGATTTCAGGCTGTTCCTCCTCTCTGACTTAAGAGAAAGGGCAAAGTATTTACCTGATCAATTTATGAGTAGCTGTGAGAATCTGTCACTTTTGACATGGTGCCAGATCATCTAAACTGCTCAATGCATCATAATTCCAATCTCTGCTTACTCTGTTCATTTATATTTTGGTCAAAACACCAGAAATATCTTATTTCCTCCTTAAACTGCCTTTTCCAACTATTGCAGTAACTAAAGGATGAACCTGATTTAATACATCTTTAGGAAACAATTCAGGCTTGAGAGACCATATTCAGGAATTTCGTTTATCGTTGTGTGCATAAATAAAACAAACCTCTAATTTTCTGAAACATTTTATTCAGAGCCTTAGCTTTTTTAACATTTTTATCTCCACAAAATCAAGCTTTCTCTTCTGCCATTAATAAACAAAGTGCCTGGATTGTCTTCATTCATATTACCTTAATTACTGAAAATCATTCTATGTAAAAAAAGCTAAAAAAAGGGTAAAAGAAGCCTTGTAATATATGATAGGGATATATATGCACACACACATAGGGATATACATACAATATATATCTCTGACAGGGACACAGTCCAGCTAAACCAACAGATTCTTCAGTTTTTACAGACTTGGCTGCAAATAGTTGTTTTGCATTGTATTTTGATGTCAACTGCCGAGTACCAAAACTACACAATCAACCCAAGCTGCATCAACAGTGGAAGTGATTTAATTTTTATAACAATGTGTATTTTTATGAACAAAGATAAAACCACAGGACTTTGTATGGGATGGAATAATTCCATGGAAAATACTGAAATCTGGTACCAACTCTGGTGACACAGGTGGCCTTGCTGCTCCTCAGGAGGAAGACACAAATCCCTTAATTAATCTGGGCCATATCAAACACAGTGTGCATGAGCTGGTTATTTATTTTGTGTTCATCAGCCTGGCACACACGGGGTTCTGAAGCCTGACTGTGCCCCATCAGGTGGCAGTGGAGGGTTCCAGATGATGGACAGCACTGGAGGATGTGCAACAAGGTCCTTCTGCTCCCGGTGCCCTGTCACAGCTGGAATTGCACTGCACACACGAAACTGCTCAGTCTTGTTCCAAAACTTGTCTTCATCGAAAATATAGGAGTGCCCTCTGGTGGAAAACTGAGCAGTTCAAGCTACAGACTCACTAAAAATAAGCGTTTTTCCTCAAGTGTAAATACCAATTTCTTGCTGTAAACCAAAAGGTCTTGGTTACATCAGTGATTATTTCAAGGCCAGATTGGTCATTTTGTGCTTTGTCATTCTGCAAGGAAGTTTTCAGGGCCCTGAAGCTCCAGATGTTCCAAGCAGGGGCTGTGGTTTGGTGA